TCCTAAACCACATGCATCTGAAAATTCTATGAACTTGGAGAAATGACGATAATTATAGAAAGGCTTCAGGCCTTTTGTTCATGGGGTGACTATGAGTCGTGCTCAACTCAACAGCCATAAACAACAACAACATAAATTGCACAGGAGGAGATTGCGCATATTTCTCCTGTGAAAACAATGGTAGGTGTAAACTACTAGAGAGGTGCCACATTTAGGTTTACAGCACAACTTCCTATAGATATATCCTAGAGGAATAACTGGTCTGTGACACACACATCCATGTTTATTCCAGTGTTATTTACAACAACAATGATATAAAAACAACTCAAATGGTCATCAAAGGTCAAATGGATAAAGAAATTATAGTACATTCTTACTGGTGTGAGATGATATCTCATAGTTATTTTGATTTGCATCTCAGAGTTATGGATTTTGAACATTTTTTCATGTGTTTGTTCACCATTTGTATGTCTTTGGTGATAACAAAATTTAACAGCATAGCACCAACAAATGATGGTGAGGTTGTGGAGAAACTGGAACCCTTATTTACTGTTGAAAGTATAAAATGGTGCAACCACTATCGAAGGCAGTATGGTGCTTTCTCAAAAAGTTGGAAATAGAAATACCATTTGACCCAGCAATTCCACTACTGGGACTATACCTTAAAGAAGCCAGAAGTGGCATCCAAGCAGATATATGCACATCCATGTTTCCTGTGGCTTTTTTCACAATAGCAAAGACTTGGAAACAACCTAAGTGCCCATCAACAAACGAATGGATAGGGAAGCTGTGTTATATTCACACAATGGAATACTATGCTGCATTGAAAAACAAGGAACTCATTAAGGACTCTGAAGGATATTATGCTTAGTGAAATATCTCAGTCACAAAAGGACAAATACTGCATAGTGCCACTGTTGTAAAGCAGGAATGACATCAGGGTTTGGGGGAAACTAAAAAGGGATAAATAATGCATATTGTATTGACACAGATGAGAGAGATAACTGTTTAGGAGGAATATATGATTAGGTATTACTGTCATGACAAAAGTCCAGAATGAAAGCTACATAGTTGAGCAGACCAGGGAAAGCGAACTGGGGCGGGGAGTGGTGGGCAGGGAGGAAATTGTGCAATAATGAATGAATTGAAATCCAAAGTCTCTGAAAACGTCAATGAAAAGAAATTTTAAAAGAAGAAAAAATAAGCAGTGTGATGTGTTTTTTTAAAATAACCATCTAATTACTGGTCCTACTAAATTGACAGCAATTAAATATAAGAATCATTTAAAAATTATTGTACATTCATTCAATGGAGTATACGCAACACTAACGAAAGAGAAACAATGTGACACACTGCACAGCATGGATGAATCTAGAAAATATATCCTAAGTAAAATGAGACATTTACAAAAGAACAAATATTGTAGAAGAACATTATTATTCAAAACTAATGATTTACACATAGAATCATTCTGAGATGGATAGGAGGTAGTGTGGAATAAAATTGAGAAAACAGATAATAGATATATATTGTGATGAATTACTAAGAGTGAGGATTAAGTTGCATCTTATTTAGGCATGGTCTTTCCAATCACTTGCTATCTCTAAGAACTGGAGAATTAATAAGGATGACAAGAAGAAGCCTTTGAGCTGTGGTACTGGAGAATAGTATTAAATATCCAGTGAGCTGCCAGAAAAACAAAAAAATACATCTTAGAGAAAGTGTTGCCAGTATGATCCTTGGAGGCAAAGATGATAAAGCTTTGCCACACATACTTTGGGTATATTGCTTGGATAGGCTATTCATTAGAGCAGGACTTTATTCTTGGAAAGGTGGAAGGTCAGTAAAAGAGTGGAAGATCTCCAACTACATGGGTTGACACAGTGACTGCTGCAATGGGCTCTAGGGTGTCAGGAAGAGTGAGGATGGTACAGATAGGACAGGGTTTAAATATGTTGTTCAGAGAGTCAGAGTGGGATGTACTTGACTCAATGAGACCTAATAACAATAACAAAATGTTGAGTGAAAGGAATAAAATAAACAATAAGGAGATGAACAGCAAAATATCTCTTAAAAATGGGAAGAGAGATGTAGAAGGATTAATGGAAATGAGAAGTGGAGTAAATGTTATGACATTGTAAATATTGAAATTAATATTATAAAACAAAATGTTTATTAATTGTAGAATGAAAAACGAATTTGCTTTGTAAACTTTCACTGAATTATCCTGGTTAAAAGAGGGGAAAAAAAGATTATGGGACACCCTTGCATTAGATATATCAGTTTTTAAAAGAGTCTATTTCATAAGGGACTACACATTAGCATCTTGGTTGTCAGAGAAAGGCAAGAAGATTTGGAGTTAGTGTTTCCAACTACTGGAAAAACAAACAAACAAAACAAACCTCCAGCTCCTTCCATAACCTTTGTATTATGTACTTTGAGCTTCATCTTTCAGTACTTTATGACTTTGTCTTCTGCACTTTGGGTATATTATTACTAGGGGGGACCAGTCCTTGAAGAAGGACATTATGCTTCATAAAATATGGTGTTATTGTTGGATGCTGTTGACTACAATTCATAGTGACCCCTGAACAACAGGTATGAACCTTGCCAACCTTGCACCATTTTCACCATCTTTGATATGCTCAAGCCCATTTTTAAGCCATTGTGTTACTCTGTGTTGTCAAAAGTCTTCTCTTTTTCTGATCCTCCACCTCCCAGCATGATGTCTTTTTTCCTAGGACTGGCCCCTCCTGACAACATGCCCAAAGTATGTGAGATTAGGTGAAGGTATCTTTGCCTTCACCATTATAAAATAGACAGCAAAATAGGGGGAGAAAGCAACCCAACGCCTTCAATGAGATGGATTAACACAATAGCTTTAGCAATTAAATACAGAAAGAACTGTAAGGATAGCACAGGGCCAAGTAGCGTTTCTTTAGTTGTGCAAAAGGTTATTATGTGTTGGAACTAGATTGATAACATCTATCAACAAAAGGGCCTTCCATATACTGACCATTGCTAGACAAAGTAAGTTTTGTGATTTTCTTTTCTTTTTTTTTTTTTACTTCTGTGAGGTAAGGGGATAAAGATCCTCTTGCTCCAATCATACAGCTCAGAAATATTCTTGACACTTGGTTTCTTAGGTAAAGTCCATGTCAGAAACTGTGAGATATAGCCTGAAAGTTTAAGAACATTGGGTAGAAAAGAATTTTTCATTTATCTCCATGTTCTAACTATAAAACAAAATCCATTCTTATTTACACACTTCGTCAAACTTTTGTGTAGAAAAAAAATGAACTAGTAAAAGAGAATGCTTTGTGAACTCCCAATTTTCAGTGCTTTGTCAACTGTTGTTTCCTGTTGGTAGCTTCCATTGGGTAGACTATCACTCATAGCTGAACCATGAGCAAAAAAAATCTAAACCTTGCCCTATCCTGAGTCATCCTTGCCATCTCTAACATACATTGTTACAGTCACTGTGCTATTTATTTATTTTTTAATTTATGTTTTATCCCCTTCTTGTGTGCTGTTGAGTCAGATCAGACTGGAACAGGAAGGGATTGCTCCTCCTTCTCCAGTGGAGCATTTGGTGGATTTGAACTGTGGGTTTTTGGGATTGCAGTGTAGCTTCTTGCCAGTAGGCCACCAGAGTTCCTTTCATTGGGCTATTGAGATTCTTCCTCTCTTTCTCCAACCCTCCAATTTCCCAGCATAATGTCTTTTTCCAAAGACTGGCCCCTCCTGACAATTAGGAAAGGTTAAATGTGATCACCAGTTAAAGTAGATACCCTCCTTCCTATGATTACAGTGAATATTTGGCTTTTGAAGACTTATAATTTCAAATTTTGATTGTGAGAAAACTGAAGGCTTGTGATTTTTTAATTGGTACGCATATAATTATTCACATACATGGTGAGAGGTTTTGTGTCTGTGCATGTGTGTTTCACACTTTTCTTTATTGACAATGACATTATGCTTCATATAATCAATCCAAAATTTATAAAATTAGTAACCACTGACCTATGCCCACCTCATCTTTTCACATCCCTGCCAGATCTTTCCCCATCCCTCCACCCCCCCATCCACCCACCAAATTGTGTGATCCTGTTATTTCCCCCCTTCCTATGCTCAACTCATCTGCTCCCAGTGATTTGAAGTATGCTAGCATTTTGCCAACACATGGACTTGAATCACTCATTCTAAGATACAGACTGTCTTGTGCAAAAGAGTGTTACTTATTGAGAGATAGGCCTTAACTTACCTCTGACATCTGCATCTTTCTAATAATTCCTATCATGCAAGCTGTGGGTCTCTTTATAAAAAGTTAACTCCTGAGAAAGCACCAGATTGGGATCTGCTCATTTGTGGTATCACACCAATGAGGACAGATTTTTGATTTTTTACCTTTTCAGTAATAAATGAGAAATAGTGTCTAATGGACGATGAGATGAACTCCAGGTCTGCTTTGTGGCCCCTCTGAGTTGGCACTTGGCCACACCTGACCAATCATTGCATTTCCAAGTTTTGAATGAGGCATCCTGAAACTGAATTCACTGGAGCCTCACAGAAGGCAATCTGAGTCTAGACATCTGTGAAACTGGAGAAAACCATTTTGATAACAGAGAGATGCACAGCCTTGAAAACAGTTCAACTGTAATCATGCACATATATGCCTTCCAGCTACTTGTTGTTAGTAGCCTATTCACTCTCTGACAGAATAGGATCATGATTCCTCTCTTATAGGACCATAACATAGAGGGGACCAAATAGAAGAGGGTATATCTGGCTGTTTGACAAGAGGCCACTCACTGAACCACTGGGCTGGGAGCTCAATAATGCACGGAGGAAGGCCAGATTTGCTCTGCAGGTGAACTTCATCACAGTCCTGGCACTTCATTGTTATTTCCACTAATAATTCTTCTTTGAGGAAGGAAGGGCATCAAGTTCTTTCAGACTCTCTGGCAGTTCAGGGGATGGAAGGGACTCCAGACACTCACCTTGGCCATCTCGTAGGATAATCTCCCCCTCTCCTGTTATCCAGCGGTAGCAGGGGAACTCAATGTAGTCCCCGTAGGGTGTCTTCAGCGTGATGTACTTCAGGTACCAGTCATCATGGAGCCAGTATTTGCGCTTCTCAATTTTGATCAACTGTATCTCACCCAGTTCTTCATCCACGGTTACATTGTAAGAATCAACCTGCAGCAGCAAAAAAGGCAGATCATAGCAGCGTGGCATCCACTAAGTCCTCGTGTCACTGTTAGTCAGGTTAGCCAAGACACTCACTGAATTGCTGTTGACAAGGCCCTGTGCCAGGTCTAGGATGATAGATAGGCACATGCTATTATCTGCCTCTCTAGATGAAAATCTAGTGAGGGATTCTGCTCTCAACACATGGTTCAAATGGGAGGCACAGACACTCCTGGGCAAGTGTTCACCCTTGCATGCCCCTTGAAGTCCTGCTTGACTAGAGCACTCTTCAGTGGCCTGCTCTCATATAGAAGCTTCAGGTTCTCACTCCTGGGTAGTCCTTACCACTTACAAAGGGACCACTGATAATGTGTCCTACCAACACTTTAGGAGGGGAAATGGAGTTCTTACCTGCTTGACAGATAAAGATACTGAGGTTCAGTAAACCACAGTGCAGCTGCTAAAGGAATTGGAACTCACATATAGTCTATTCACAATAGCCACGTTGACTCTAGTTCTCAGCAGGGCAGTAACTAAGTGAAAATGGAGAAGCTCAGTTACAAATGAAAACATAGATTTAAAGCCCTGGAATCCCAGCCCTTTGGGAACATTTGCAGTTCCCTTGAACCAGCACAGTAATGCCATGAGTGACCTGACTCAGTAGTTCTCACTACATTGGTAGCTCTGGAAGTGGATGAGGGTTGGCTGTATTGCTGAAAGTTCACACCCCAGGCTTATGTGTGGCACTACTTCTAAGACTCCTGGCTCTGAACCATTCTTGCCACTGGGAGATGAGCCTCTTGGCACTGGGCTTCTATACCATCTGCATCTTTGCAGTATCAGTGGCAGGTATGAAGAAGCATGTAGGACTCAAGTATCACATTGGAAGATTCGGTGACCAGTAGGTATGGAAAGCCCTGGCCTCAGTTGCCCACATGAGCCTGTTTTAAATTTTGTTTCACTTATCTTGAACTTTTGCATTAGCAAGAGAACCCATAGTTCTGAATGTGAAGTGAATGGGACAGGGCAGAGGTGTGTCCTGCATGCAGCCCTCCCAACCGTCTCTGTTCCATCCTTCCCTTACAGGTAGCAAGGAGCTTCCTTGGAGGGCTTCCTGAAAGGAATAGGAAGTTGAATATTTTTGGCAAATCCCTCAGCTCTAGACACAAAGAGCAACTTGTATGTTGTGGTTTCCACAGAGTCCAGATATCTTTGTTCAGAAAAAGGAAGCCTCCTTCCTCAGCCTGGTCCTGTGATGCTGGCCAGGGCCTTGCTTCAGAGCAGTTTCTGAGGTGAGTGAGGCCTCTGAGCTGGGAAAGTACCTTCCTGTTCTCATCAAATGCACATTCATCTCTTTCCAAGTGCCATATGATATAGAAAAAGTGGGCATATCTTCTGATCAAGCAATGAAAAGGCAATTACCAAAAACTAGCCTTGTTATGCCAGAGAGGCAAGTCATCTCATAAGAAACTCAAACTTTTAAATTATACCTATTCAGCTAAACTTGTAATTTTTAACTAGTTGTTGTTGTTGTTGTTGTTGCCTTTGGGTTGAGCATGATTCACAGAAACCCTATGAAGAAAAGGCTTGAAGTCCCTCTACAACTATAGACATTTATTGAAGTTCATAGGGTTTCCAGAGACAAGTTATATAGGAAGTGGATGCTACTCCTGCTTCTAAACCTGTCACAGTATATTATTGTTTTATAGGCCATTGAGAGTCTAGATTATTATAATAATCAGACCATTTTACAGTTTATAAATGACTCAGGCTAAATTTTTAAATTAAGTAGATATGGGAAAATGCACATATATATCAATACCAAGTAATATTATTTCTATTACTTAGAAAAATGACTGAAATGAAATTGAGACATTGCCGTCCTGGGAAAAGGCTTACAAAATGTAATAGTGGTCTAAGGCACTACCTTACCTCCAATTACACTTAGGTTATCTTAGTCTAAAGAATAAGGGGAAAGCAATGGAAACATAAACAAAAACATTCAACTTCTCATGTCCTTTTAGCTGGTTTATAAGTCCTTGGGAAGAACATGATGGAAAAGTGTGTACATGTGAAATAACAGCATTTTAGACAAAGGATCAGTGAACAGGATGGAAGATAGATTCTCCTAATTGTGGGCACCATCTGCTTCCTAGAGTCTGCAACCATATCAAACCTTCCTCCTTACTTGTTTAGTTTTTATGTAGCTTGTGGGTTCAAGGTTGATTAAATCTTCTAAGTTTGGTTTTTGGAGCTATCACATACTCAGTATGTTTAAACATTTATTGTCAAGTAGATAAGATAATGAGCACAGCTTTCCACTGGAAGGTTGAATCACTAGTGCTTTTTGTGCCCTGATTTGTTGTCTGGCCTTTCAAGTAGTTTTAAAAAATTTCTGGGGGTAGAGAAGAAAATGTATAACATTGAATGAATAAAAATCACAATAAAAATTTTTTATTCAAATCACAAAAAAAAAAACAAAAAACAAATGCACATTCATCTTCTCACCTGATATGCCCTGTCCTGTCTCATAGTGTGCACCCAGCTGTGGCAGGGAAAGAGCACTCCCTTCTCAGTGTGCCCAGCAGGAAGACTGAGGCTGTAAGGGGGGTTGCATAGACAGCACTGAGCTTTGGGTCCTGGGTAGTGGGGTCAGAAATCTGTCCTGCCTTCTCTTCACTCCTCCCAATCCTGCTGGCCAGGAGAGACAAGGCAGGACAGATCGCTAATGAGTGGAGAAGAAGCAAGATCTCTGGACTGATGGGCAGAGAGGGGATCAGGTGCCTTGGGACTATCTGAGCCCCAACACTTGGATCTACAGAAGCCACAGCCTAGATGGGAATCTCACTTAAATCAGGTAGGGAGAGGTTGAGGAGCGAAGCTTGCCTGGGTAGGTGAGGGTTCCAAATTTCAATTCCAGAGTCTACACAATCTACTTGGCTCCTCAGCTCTGCTTTTTCCTCTACCCAGAGAATATTACAGCACCACTGAGAAATTTGAGCAAGCTTATGCCTGACTGGGTATCGTGTCTGTTAGAAATTCATTAGACTCTTTCCTCCAAGACAAAGGCCATTGGCTGGATGTGTTTACTGGGACCTCCACCTCTCCCCTCTTTCAGTGGAGATCACTAGGAAGCAGTACAGCTAGGGACCAGTGTTCCTAAGTTTGTCTTTGATTCTCTACCAGATCGAATTTCCAAAAATGGGAAGACAACACTGAGAAGGAGAATCAAAGGCATCTTTGGCATTGGTGGTGTAGGTGAAAAAAAGGGAAGTCAGGGTCTGGAGGTCTGGGGCTTGACTCAGGGTGGCAGCTCCAGAGGAAGTGGATTTCCTTTGGCTCAGAGGAATCAGGAAGGATGTGGACACCAGAAAGGTCAAGTGAGGGGAGAGAAGATGACCAATCTAATGTCTCAGATGTCAGGAAGATCTGAGGTGAACATTCCCAGTGGTGAAGAATCATCTGGCATAACAAGGAGGGTGTGGGGCTAAAAGAAGCTCTTCAGGACTGGAGTGATTCTCAGAAAGAAGGCCAGATGTCCCGGTGACTTCAGTGAGGAGACAGGTGTGTTTCTCTGAGGGAAAAACAGCAGAAGCACACTTCGGCACATCTTTGGTGAAGTCACAGGATGGGCACTGTAGGTGCACTTTCTTCTATCTCACTCACACACTGGAAGGGGCTGGCAGAGGTCTGCAATCTCACTGGACAGAGACGCAGAGATGCAGCATGCCAGCTAACAGGTTGGCCATGGGGGATGGGAAGGCTTGCTGGTTTGGCTTGTCTCTACCAGCAAAGGGCTTTACTGACTCTAGCTTTAAGATAAGGGTGACATCAGATGAACAAGGTACCAAACAATTTACGCTGACTCTTACTCAGGATGTCTTCAGCACAAAGTCTTATGGCTGTGATTCTAACTATTCAAAGGAACAACTCTGGGAGGAGTCACAAAGATCTCAAGGGAGACAGCAGGGTTTTGTGGATCAAACAACAACATAAAGCTTTAGAAAGATCTCCAAAGCTATAAGGTGTGAAATCTCCCTTCTCTTTATGTGCCAGACCTGTTAACTTGTTCTTCTCTTTATATTCATCATGAGAGCTGAACTCTCAACTATTCTTCACAGGGGACTCCATAATAGGCTCATGATAATTAGTCCAACTAGATGATGACTTTATTGTACAGGGTAATCCGAGGCTCAGTGAGGTAGATTCTGACAGTGCTAGTGAGTCAGTGATTGTGCTGTGGTCAGTCCCTCCATGTGGACTGCCAACACTGTAGAGGAAATGCCTGAAGTTAGACTAGAAGACTGGACTAGGAAGGGGCATTATGGAATGAGGGGGAAGACATGAACAGGTTTTTGGAAGAGTATTTGAGGCAGCTTTTGGGGACTTTTTCCACAGTGCAGGGAGGACATTTCAGAAGCAGGGAGCCAAGTGAAGAAGATGCTTGAGTGGAAATATTTGCTCAGCAGGAGGGAGGAAGAGTTCCTGGTGCTGGTGCTGGGGGTAGGAGTGTTATAGGTGTGAGAAAAAAGGGATGGAAAGAAGGTAACAGGATAATTCATCATCTTTGATTTACAAGAATGTTGTTTTGCTGATTTAATGTGTTGTCTTTACTTATTCACTGGATCCATGATTTTGAAGCTTTTGAATATTTTAGCAAAGTTTTAGTAGATCATTTTTCATTTAGCCTTTACTTCAGAATTTTAACTAAGTTTCTTTTGCTTTGACCTAAGTGCCTGTGGCAACTGGGAAAGGAAGAAGCAAAGGGGTAGTGAGGTGCCCACAGGAGAGGAAGAGAAAAGGGAGCAGGCAAAAGAAAGTACTGGAGTGGAGAGGGAGAAGACTGAGAGGCAGAGCAGAGGAGAGGAAGGGGCATGGAAACTGATGGGGCAGAGAAGAGGGCCCTGGGGGAGATGGGGAGAGTGAAAGAGAAAAATCTGAGTCAAAAAGGAGGGAAAGTTCCATCAACAAACGAATGGATAGAGAAGCTGTGGTATATTCACACAATG